TGTGAAACTGATGATGTGCCTTGTAAACTTTCACTCAATCCACAATAAAAGCCTTAAATTAAAAAAAAAAAAAAAAATTTAGCCAATAAAATTCAACAACATATCAAAAAAAGAATGCATCATGACCAAGTAGGATTCATACCAAGGATGCAAGGATGGTTCAATATTAGAATAGCAAACAATGTAATCTACCACATAAATAAAACAAAGCAAAAGAACCACATGATCATATCGATTAATCCAGAAATGGTATTTGCCAAAATCTTACATCCATTCCTAATAAAAAAAATGCTCAACAAAAGAGCAATAGAAGGGAAATTCCTCAACATAATTAAGGACACGTATACAAGTATACAAGTAGACTTGACTGTGTTGACGTGAATGGAGTCAAGCCCGTGGGAGAAAAGCCCACGGGACCTTCATTTGCTGATGGGGCACAACTCAAAATGAAGAACAGCTGTAAACATCCATTGAAAATCGGAACACAGGATGTACGAAGTATGAATCTGGAAAAATTGGAAGTTGTCAAAAATGAAATAGAATGCATAAACATTGCTATCTTAGGCATTAGTGAGCTGAAATGGACTGGTAGTGACCATTTTGAATCTGACAACCACATGGTTTACTGTGCCAGGAATGACTAATTGAAGAGGAATGATGTTGCATTCATTCTCAAAAAGTACATATCACTCATGAGGTACAACGCTGTCTGTGATAGGATAATATCCATGTGCCTATAGGGAAGCCCAGTTGATACCACTGTTATTCAAATTTACATACCAACCACTAAAGCCAGTGAGTATGAAACAGAAGAATTCTACCAACATCTTCAATCTGAAATCAATCAAACATGCAACCAAGATGTATTGGTCATGACTGGTGATTGGAATGCAAAGGTTGGGAGCAAAGATGAAGGACCAGTAGTTGGAAAATATGGCCTTGGTGATAGAAATGATGCTGGAGAACGCATGATAGAATTCGGCAAAGCCAATGATTTTTTCATTTCAAATACCTTCTTTAGACAGCATAACAGATGACTACACACCAGACAGAGTACATAGAAATCAAATTGACTACATCTGTGGAAAGAGACGATGGAAAAGCTCCATATTGTCAGTCAAAACAGGGCCGGGGTAGACTGTGCAACAGACCATCAATTACTCATATGCAAATTCAAACTGAAGAAGAAGAAAATGAAAACAAGTCCACAAGAGCCAAAATATGACCATGAATATATCCCACCTGAATTAGGGATCATATGAAGAACAGATTTGATACATTAAACATTAAAGACCAAAGACCAGAAGAGTTGTGGGATGACATCAAGAACATCATACAGGAAGAAAGTCATTGAGAAGACAAGAAAGAAGGAAAAGGTCAAAAAGGATGTCAGAAGAGACACTGAAACTTGCTCTCCAGTGTAGACATGCTAAAGCAAATGGAAGAAATGAGGCGGTCCAAGAGCTGAACAGAAAATTTCAAAGATCAGCACAAGAAGGTAAAGCTAAATAATATGACAAAATGTGCAAAGATCTGGAATCAGAAGACCAGAAAGGAAGAACACGCTCAGAATTTCTCAAGCTGAGGGTACGGAAATAAAAATTCAAGCCTTGACTTTCATTATTGAAAGATTCTCTGGGCAAATTATTGAATGACGCAGGAAGCAAAAGAGAAGATGGAAGGAAAACACAGTGTCACTGTACCAAAAGGAAATGGTTAATGTTCAGCTGTTTCAAGAGGTACCGTATGATCAAGAGCCAATGATAATGAAGGAGGAAGTCCAAGGTGCATTGAAGGAATTGACAAAGAACAAGGCACCAGGAATTGATGGAATAAAAATTGAAATCTTTCAAGAAAGTGAGGCGAGATGGCACAGGAAGAACTCACTCATCTCTCCCAGGAAAATTTGGAAAACGACTATCTGGCTGACTGATTGGAAGAGATCCATATTTGTGCCCATTCCAAAGAGAGGTGACCCAATGGAATGCGGAAATCATTGGACAATCTCTTTGATATCCCATGCAAGTAAAGTTTTGCTAAAGGTAATACAGAAACGGCTGCAAGCGTACATTCCAGAAGTTCAAGCCGGATTCAGAAGAGGCTGTGGAATGAGGGACATCGTTTCTGATGTTCGATGGATCTTGGCTGAAAGCAGAGAATATCAGAAAGATGTTTACCTATGCTTTATTGACTACAGAAAGGCTTTCGATTGTGTGGATCATGACAAGCTATGGACAACATTGAGAAGTATGAGTATTCCATAACACTTAATTGTGCTCATGAGGAATCTGTACCATGACCAAGAAAAAGTTGTTCGAACAGAACATGGGAACACTGAATGGTTTAAAATTAAGAAAGGTGTGCAACAAGGTTGTATTCTTTCACCATACTTATTCAACCTGTATGCTGAGCAAATAATCCGAGAAGCTGGGTACTATGAAGAAAAACATGGCATCAGAATTGGAGGAAGACTCATTAATAACCTGCGATATGCAGATGATACAAACTTTCTTGCTCAAAGTGAAGAGGACTTAAACATTTACTGATGAAGATCAAGGAGTACAATCTTTGTTATGGATTTACATCTCAATGTCAAGAAAACAAAAATCCTCACCACTGGACCAATAAACAACATTCTTATCAGTGGAGAAAAGATTGATGTTGTCAAGGACTTCATTCTTCCTGGATCAACTATCAACACTCACAGAAGCAGCAGTCAAAAATCAAACGATGTATTGCATTAGGCAAATCTGCTGCACAAGACTTTTTTAAAGTGTTGAAGAGCAAAGATGTCAGCTTGAGGACTAAGGTATGCCTGACCCAAGCCATGGTATTTTCAATTACCTCATATGCATGTGAAAGCTGGACAGTGAAGAAGGAAGACCACTGAAGAATTGATGCATTTGAGTTATGGTACTGGAAGCAAATATTAAAAGTGCCATGGGCTGCCAAAAGAACCAATAGATCTGTTTTGGAAGAAGTACAGCCAGAGTGCTCCTTGGAGGCCAAGATGGCCAAACTTTGTCTCTCATAGTTCAGACATATTGTAAAGAGGGACCAGTCACTGGAGAAGGATATCATGTTTGGTAAGGTGGAGGGTCAGAGAAAGAGAGGAAGATCCCCAATAAGATGGATTGGCCAAGTGGCAGTATCGATGGACTCAAGCGTGGCAACAGTAGTGAGGTTGGACCAGGATCGGGCAGCATTGCATTCTGCTGTGCATAAGGTCACTATGGGTCAGTACCGACTCGATGGCACCTAACAGCAACATACAAGGCCAACAACCAACATTACTTTCAATGGAGAAAAACTGAAAGCATTCTCTTTGTGAACAGCAGCCAGACAATTATGCCCTTTTAGTCCCAGTACAGCGCTGTAGGATAAGCACTCAACCTCAAGGTTGGTTTGAACCACAAGGTCGGTACTTCAAACTCACCAGTCACTATTCAAAAACCCTATACAGGGTCAATATGAGTTGGAACTGACTCGAAGGCACTTAACAATAATAACATTCAATATTGTGTTGGAAATCTTAGCCAGAGCTGTGAGGCAGGAAAGGGAAATTAGAGGTGTCTGAACTGGTAATAAGACGTGAAACTCTTTATTTGCAGATAATATGATCTATACATAGAAAATCCCAAAGACTCAGCAAGAAAATTTTTGGAACTCATTGAAAGATTCAGCAAAATAGCAAAGAACAAGAGCAACATACAAAAATCAGCTGGATTTCTCTATACTAATAAAGGAAGTTGTCAAGGACTTCATTTTTTTGGATCAACTATCAACACTCACGGAAGCAGCAGTCAAGAAATCAAATGATGTATTGCATTAGGCAAATCTGTGCATCAGCACAAGACGTTTTTAAAGTGTTGAAGAGCAAAGATGTCAGCTTGAGGACTAAGGTGCGCCTGACCCAAGCCATGGTATTTTCAATGACCTCATATATGTGAACGCTGGACAATGAATAAGGAAGACAGTAGAAGAACTGATGCATTTGAATTACGGTGTTCGAGGAGAATACCATGGGCTGCCAAGAGAACCAATAGATCTGTGTTGGAAGAAGTGCAGCCAGAGTGCTCCTTAGAGGCCAAGATGGCCAAACTTCATCTCTCATACTTTGGACATGTTGTCAGGAGGGACAAATCTCTGGAGAAGGATATCATGTTTGGTAAGGTGGAGGGTCAGAGAAAAAGAGGAAGACCCCCAACTAGATGGATTGACCAAGTGGCAGCTTCAATGGACTCAAGTTTGGCAACAATTGTGAGGTTGGCCCAGGATTGGGCAGTGTTTCATTCTGTTGTAAATAGGGTCTCTATGAGTCAGTACTGAGTTGATGGCACCTAACAACAACAACAAATGAAGGCAGCAGTGCGTAGTCCTACAGAGAAAGCACCCAGCCCTGTTCTCTTTGGCCAGCAGTGACCGCCCCTACTCCTCTGCACTGGGCAGAGTTTGCTCCTGTAGAGCAAACGCTGCATTCCTGCTGTAGTTAGGTTTGGTGGCTAGCTAGCACTTGCCCCAAGACTGTAAGACTATGTTGCTTCCTTTTTCACTTCGTCTGGGTTTTCCCTCTCCCTACCCCATGTTTAAGGAGCTCTGGTAGTGTAGTGGTTACGAATCAGGCTGCTAACCTCAGGGTCAGCAGTTCGAAATTACCAGCTGCTCCATGGGAGAAAGATGAGGCTTTCTGCTCCCATAAAGATTTACAGCCTCGGAAACCCTGTTCAGGGTTGCTATGGGTCGGAACTGACTCCATGACACTTAACAACAGCAACAACCCCATGTTTATTTTTCTCTCTTCTCCACCACTTTTTTCCCCCCGAGCCAAGTGTTTTGAGGTACTGAGTTTAGAATTCATGTTTCTCAGAATGGTGTCAGGAAAGGAACCCTCTGCTCCCGCTAAGTGGTGTGGAGGAAGGGGCACTGTGGGTCTCTCCAGGTCTCTCCACCTCTGCCACCTGGATTCCAAAATGCTGACAAATGAGGCCTGGGACCTTTACCTGGAGCGGATGTTCCATAGCCATAGCCCTGGTTAGCAACGACAAAGGGCTCATTCAGCGTGATCCAGAACTTCACCTTGTCTCCCAGCCTCTCAAACAGCACATCTGCATAGTCTTTAAACCGCTGGACAATGGTTTCATTCTCCCAGCCCCCGACATCCTGCAGCGCCTGGGGCAGGTCCCAGTGGTAAATGGTCACCTGTGGAAAAGCCAGATCAGCAGTCCCATTAGCCTTGCTTTCCAGACCTGTCATCCCTTAGGGAACATCCTTGATGAGGAGTCATGGGCATTATATCCACCAGCAAGTAGGCTGGCTAAAGCCTCTCATTTAGCCTTCTTGCAAATGACCCCCAAGAGAGCCCATCTTGGCTAGGCCAAGATTTCCACTGTCCTCAGCCCAACTGGATGCTAACCACTTTCAGTCCGGTACAAACCCTCTCCTTTATTCAAGACTCACATTTCCCTGAAGCTTTCCCTGCACTCAACACCTTTCCTTTTGTGGTATCTCACACCCTTCAGCTCCACAGCATCTTGTGGTTCTGAGTTAAGTCTTTAATTATTTCCTTATTGATAAACACGTAGGGTGTTTCCACTCTTGCTATAACAAATACTAATGATAGCATGGATCTACTGACCTAAACAAAATGGAGTCCATTTAGTCACTGAGTCTCAAGTGAGGACCCTGCAAATGAGGAAGCTTACATATTGGCTAAGGAGTTCTGGCAGCATAGTGGTTATGAATTGGGCTGTTAACTGACTCCATGGCACATAACAACAACAACAACAACATATATTGGCTGGGATGACATTGTGGTCCTAGAAGGAGGAATAGGACAAGGAGACTAAGACTTGCTTAAACCCACCCAGATAGTTATCTTAGGAATTAAGCAGCCAGACCCTAAACGTAGAATGTTTGTGTGTAAAATGTGTAATCTCCACTTCAGCAGAGGAAACAAATAGCTTCACAAAACTTTTATCCTTCATTCTTTTCTTATAAATGGTTCAGGAAACAAAAAATAAAATGTTCTTAGGCTCCCAAGTGGAGTCCTGTTGTGGCACTGTAGGGTAAGCACTGGATTGCAAGGTCGATTGGAACAGCAAGGTCGGCAGTTCAAACTCGCCAGCCACTCCTCAGAAACTTTATGAAAGGTCTTTATGAGTTGGAACTGACTGGAAAGGAATTAGCAACAACAGATTCCGAAGCAAAATTAGCAAGTTTTGGTGACAGCAAATTAAGCTCACAAGTGAGTTTCTGTAGTCTTATTCTAATAGATTATGGCTTAAAAACATATGCAGAGATGGCTGCCGAAGATGGCCAATGGGCAGGTCCTGGTGTTTGAAGGCCGAAGCCAACTCCAGGGCCCCTGGCGGCCATTATGGCCAAGCAAGTGCTGCTGGGCCAAAAGGTGGTGGTCGTGCACTGTGAGGTTATCAACATTTCTGGCAACTTCTACAGAAACAAATTGAAGAACCTGGTCTTTCTCTGAAAGCCAATGAGCACCAACCCATCCCGAGGCCCATACCACTTCAGGCCCCTCACCGCATCTTCTGGCGGACAGTGTGAGGTATGTTGACCCCAAGACTAAGCCTGGCCAGGCTGCCCTGGACTGCCTCAATGTGTCTGACAGGATCCCACCCCCAATGACAAGACAAAGCGGGCGGTTGTTCCTGCTGCGTTCAAGGTTGTGTGACTCAAGCCCACTGAGCAGTTTGCCTACCTGGGTCGTCTAGCACACGAGGTGGGCTGAAAGTACCAGATGGTGACCACCACCTTGGAGGAGAAGAGGAAGGAGAAGTCCTAGATCCATTTCAGGAAGAAGCAGCAGCTTATAAGGCTTAGGAAACAGGCCAAAAAAAACTTGGAGAAGAAGACTGACAAATACACAGAAGTTCTCAAGACCCACGGACTCCTGGTCTGAGCCCAATAAAGACTGTCAGTTCCTCGTTGGCCTCGCCTTGCCCTTGCTCCAATACTGCCCTGGGACATGGGGACCTCTGGGCTCCAGCCAGTGTCCAGGGTTGAGCTTAGCAGGGACCTAGGTCACATGTCCACTGCTCCCACTTCAGTTACTAACTTGTGAAGAGTTGCTCAGCAGCTGGAGCAACCAGTTCACTTCTGTCGTAAGAAGGTTTGTTAAAACTAACTGTAAGGAATCTTAAAATAGTAAATGGGGCATTAGCTAAACAGATTCACATGGTTTTACACTATACTCTGCAGCTGTGTTAGAATAGTCAAGCAGCTTGTACGATCCCAGGTGCTCCTGGGATTGTAAGAAGGAGAATTAGTGATGTAGAGGCTGGGAGGAGTTGCCATCAGGGCTCACAGGCACTGTGGTAGTTTCCCTGTGGTTTGTAATTCAAAACCAATCAATTATTTATAGCCAAAAAAAGGAAAAGAAACACATGCACCTGTGACCTAGCAATTATGTTCCTAGGACTGTAGCGCACAGACCAACTTTCATACATGTGAAGTGGTGGATGGCTGTGGCTACTCAGGAGTCCTTGGATGGCACAAACAAGCATTTGGCCACTAACTGAAAGGTTGGCAATTCAAATTCACCCAGAAATTCCTTAGAAAAAAGGCCTGGTCATCTGCTTCCAAAAGATCAGCTGTTAAAAAACCCTAAGCACACAGTTCTACTATGACACAGAATGAATTTGACAGCCACTAGTTTGCAGTCCTGGTGTGGCGCTGTGGGCTAATGCGTCAGACTGCAAAGTTGTTTGAACTGCAAGGTCGGTGGTTCAAGCTCACCAGCTGCTTCTTGGAAACCCTATACAGGGTCGCTATGGGTTGGAATCGACTCAATGGCCCTTAACAATGACAGTTTGGTTTGGCTTTTATGGCTACTCATGGTGGTATGTGTTATGATAGCAAGAGTGGAAACACCCTAGATGTTTATCAATAAAGAAATCATTAAACAATAAACAGAATTCTGTATAACTGTTAGAAAAGAAAAATGCAGAATAAATGTGGAAATTCTATCCATTCATATGGAAAAATCTGTAAAGGAATATCATTGACTAAATCCAAGTACCAAATAGTATGGTCTGCTACCATCATGAGAAGCAAGGAGAAAATGAAATATTCATACAAAGGTACATGTATATACTCATCTACTTGCTTATAAATGTAACCATAGGATGCATAAGAAACTCGCAAACTTGTTTGCCTGCAGGGGACCCCTTGGCTGGGGTGAGGAATGAGAAAGAAACTGCTTAGCAGACTCATGCTGTTTGAGTTCAGGAGCATGTGAACTTATGAAGAATTAAAAAGATTTAAATTAACAACTGTGTTTTGTGAAAAGTTTGTTAGTGGCAGGATTTGGTCTAAGACTTTTATTATAACTTGGTTGCAAAATTGTCTGTGAACAGTTAACCCTCACTTAACAGAGGCTGAGGGAGGAGAAGACAGAAAGTTATTACTTACAGGTTCTGAGTTTCTATTTCACACCAAAGACCCAAACCCACTGCAGTCAAGTAAGTTCCAACTCACAACCCCTGGATAGGGTTTCCATAAATCTTGATGGGAACAGAAAACTTCATCTTTCTCCTACACTGATCTGGTGGGTTTGAACTGCCAACCTTGCTACTTGCAGTCCAGTGCTCATGGTAAATGTAGTTGATGCTACTGAATTGTACACTTAAACATGGTTATATATATATAATGTCTTGTTATATATGAGGGCACTTTAAAAAGCTCATGGAAAAATATAATGAAAGATAATGGAAGTTTTCCACAAACTTTCTTGAAATTTTGAAAGCCTCTTCGTATATTTTTACCACACACATATACAAACACAGAACTCAGTATTTTGTTTATCCGTAAATGTGGCCCCCAGCCCAGCTGACTCCACCTCACCTGAGGCTTTATGTTGGCAGCCAGCAGGGCATCAATGAGCCGCACGTAGTAGTCCAGGCCTGCTTTGTTGATGTACTTGGTGGTTCCATCCGGAAGGATGCGGGTCCAGGAGATGGAAAAGCGGTAGTGGGACACGCCCAGGTTCTGCAGAGCTGCCACATCCTGAGGAATCTTGTGATAACTGTCACAGGCCACGTCTCCAGTGTCATCGTTCCCCACTCTCAGAGGGGTGTGAGCAAACGTGTCCCAAATGCTGAGTCCTTTGCCATCTTCTCTCCACGCACCTTCAATCTTAAGAAGACAGGACAGGTCTAATTAAGTTGTTCAGTCAAGCCACTTATAAGTTCCTTAGCCTTACTGGCAGCAGGTGAGTTCCAAGTCAGGACATAAGCCAGCTTCCCTCCCCTTCTCTGGGAATCTTCTCTTCCCACTCCTTCAGTTTCTGAGTTCCCAGTGTTTTCTGTGCACACACACATGGTGTCATCACACAGTTGTCTGCCTGCTGATTGAATTCCCACAAGGCTGTGGGGTCTATGCATTTGTCTTTCATTTTGGCATCCCAACAACAGGGGGCAGCAGTGCTTGGTGTAGGGTGGGCATTCAGTAAAGGTTTGAATGAATAACCCACTCTCCCTCCACAAAATCATGAACCAACAAATCCCAGTGATGCTAGTGTAGAGGCAGACTTTCTAATCAAGACACATGTCACTGTTTCTGTGCCTGCAATTTCTCCCCCAATCCATCCTATGAGGAAACTCTGTATAGTCTTAAGTTGTCTGACTGTAATTTACTTTAAAGTTGTTCCACTACATACTGATGTGGTATTGTGTGATAAGAGGATGTGTATGCAAATCAGGCATACACATCCATGACATTTCAACAAGACTCTTGGTCTTTCTTGTCTTTGTCTAACTATTTCTTCCCAGACTCCATCTGCTTCGTCTTGCCCTACAAATACCTTCCTTACACAGTCAACCTAACCATGCTGACCTGAGGAGATTTGGGGATCAGAAGGAGCCAGGCTGTTGGGGACAAGAACTTCCCAGACTGTCCCACAGCACTCTGTACTTCCTTCCTAGGAGATAGTCAACAGACTCTCCTGAAATCCCTGCTCACATGCCTGTCCTCCAAGTAGCCCATCACTTGGCAGGTCTGCAATAAAATGTTTGATAAGCTGCATTGAACTCCTCACCTGATATGCAGCGGAAGCTGCACTCCAGATAAAGCCATCAGGAAAGTGCCCATACACAAACTCATCTTCCTTGGGCAGTGGCATGCCATTGTTTGTAATGACTTCTGTGTAGTACCTGCTGGAGGCTCTTGCTGTTCGAGGCCTGTTCAGGTCATTGAAGTCAACATGGTACAGTCCAAATCTGACTGAGTAGCCATTCAGCCATTCAAAGGTGTCCATCAGAGACCAGGCCATGTATCCTCGAAGGTCTACACCATCAAGCCTGTAGGCTGGGAATAGTTCAATGGGAGGAGTGAAAACAGCTTTGTATTACGAAATAGAATCTCCAACAAACCCAGCCAACTCAACTCCTCAACTCAAGACAATACTTCTAAACCATTCTAAACACAAGCAATATTTTCGCCAATAGATAAACAGATTATCTTGGCTGTCTTCTTTTTCGCTAACACTGATGATCACATGGCAGGTATTAATGATGGATTTTTATGTGATCAGGTTCTTTAGAATCTGATTACATAAAGAATCTCAGACCACATTTGCACTTTAAAAGTTAAAGCACAGAAATGTGAGTCGGAGAAAAGTTTCTTGCTCTGAGATCCATGAAACCCACCGGAATACAAGCTCTGTGGGAGCAGAAAATGATCTGTTCAGTTTACTGCTATACCGCTGCATCCAGATCCTGTCACATAATATTTGCTCAAAAAAAATCTTTCTTGGCCCTGGCTCACCTTGCAGTCAAACAGAGAGTGAAAAATAACACTTATGAGGAACATACTCCTCATAATTGATCATATGAGACTCATAGGACAGCATTTAGCCTGAGACAAAGCTTAGAGTGCAGGAAGGGCCAGGAAAGAAGGGCAAATGGGAATGAGGAACCCAGGGAGGAAGCAGAAAGAGCGCTGTTACATTGAGGGAATTGCCACTAACATTCCAAAACAAAATGAGTATAAATTGTTGGATGGAAAATGAATTTGTTCTGTAAACTTTCACCCAAACCACAATAATAATAATAATAATAATAATAATAATAATAATAAAAGAACATACAGGCCATCAAGGAAAAAAACAAAAACAACTTCCTTGGCTAAAACAAATACATAAACTCATTGAAACATCTTTATGAGCGCTCTGTGTGTGTACATTTGTGCTTTTTCTCTGGGGAAATGACCAAATCCCTTTTTTCAGCATTCTCAGAGGGAAATGTAACCCCTATACAGGTAAAGAATTATGGAATTAGGTTTTAAGAACACTAGTTGATAGTTCATAAAGCACTTGACGCTCATGATATATGGATATGGGAAGACGATAAAGGGATCAGAACCCTCACATACCTTTCAAAGCTTCATTGATGTAGGTTTTATGGTAGAATATTCTATCAGTGTCCTCCATTTTTGGATTTGTTAGCCCCACTCCATTTTCGGTGACGTAAATGGGCACATCACCGTACTCTTCTTTGACCCAGTTCAGCAGTCTTCGCATCCCCCAAGGCACAGCTCTGCTCAAAGCTGTGGAAGGCCATGAAGGGTCCTCCTCCTGGGTTGCCTCCTGGTCATCTTCATAGGAAGGCGGGTTTAGCCGCGGTGTTTTATGCTGCACGATCCTGGAGAAGTAGGTGTTGAGGCAGAAGACGTCGGCTGTGGCCCTAATGTACTTCTTCTCTTCCTCAGTGAAGCTTGGTAGGCGGGAGGTGGCCAGGTGTTGTAGTTCACTCCTGTTCCCCACTGTCCACTTCATAGCATCAGGGTAGTCCCCATTTCTGAAGATAGGGTGGGCAAACCAGCCCAGGGAGAACTGCAGCACGCGGTCAGCTGCTTTCACATCTCTGGGCACTTCCGGTGACTTTGGCTCTACCCAGTGTGCATTGAGACTTATTGAAATCACCCCTTTCTGCTTCTGCCTATACTTCTCATCATAAGTGTGATAGGCTCTGGCATGAGCTTTGATGACAGCATGGCCAATCCTATAAGGTCCCCAGCCTGGGTCCTTTATATTTGGAGGAAAATCCCCTGAGCCATACCCCAACCAAGCCTGGTACATGGGCTGATTAAAAGTCATCCAGAACTTAACTCTGTCACCAAACGCCTGGAAACAAAAGTCTGCATAGCTGTCAAACAACTCAATTAAGGAAGGATTATCCCAGCCTCCAATATCCTGGAGAGCTTGTGGCAAGTCCCAGTGGAACAGTGTGACCATGGGAAAGATGTTGCTTGCCACCAACCCATTGATCAGTCTATTGTAATAATCAACGCCATGACTGTTGATAGAACTATTTCTTCCAGTTGGGAAAATCCGAGACCAGGATATGGAAAAGCGATAGGCCTTCACCTTCAAAGCTCGGAGCATGTTTAGATCAGCGTCCAACTGGTTATAGCTGTCACAAGCTACGTCTCCAGTGGCATTGTCTTTCACGTTGTTCCCTGGTGTGTGTGTAAAATTATCCCAAATGCTGGGTCCTTTGCCATCGGCATCCCAAGCTCCTTCAATTTGATAAGCTGAAGAGGACACGCCCCAGAGAAAGTCATCTCGAAACTTCCCGTGGTAGAACAAATCCCTTTCAAACTTGGGTTGGTTTGAGAACTTTTCCCAAACTACTTTCGCGTTGGAGGGCACCTCAGAGGGAAAAGTGAAGGCTCTAATTTTGGGGGGCACATTTGGTGTAATAGGTGATGACACCCTATTTACCACCTTGGTGAGGAAACCGTTCTTTTCAATGATGCTGGTGAAAAAGTAGGCAGATCTCCTGGGAGTCCTTGGTTTGCTGCTATCATTGAAGTTGACATGGTGCAGCCCAAATCTCCGACTATAGCCAGAGGGGCCTTCAAAACCATCAATGAAGGAGCGAACAATGAACGAACGGACATCCACAGAGTCCTCCTTGATAGCTGTGAAGAAAAACAAAAGGTTATTTTACAGTCTCTGTTACTGTGGTTACTTACTTTTTTAAAGTTTTTCTGTTGACAAAGTTTTGGAGGTGACTTGAACTAATAAAAAAAAAAAGTGAACTTTGTATTCCCCTTCAGCATCAACAGAAGGAAAATCCACACCACGCTCACAAGACATCAGATCATTATTATGACAAGTCCTAATCCCAAGGAGCATCTCAGTCTTACAGTGAATCAGGAAAAGAATTCATCCCACTGGCTAGCATCAGGACTCCTTGGTTTTATGTAGGATACATAAATAATTTCATCTTTTAAATATATATTTTTTGCTTTTCTTGTTTACAATTAATAACATTAACATAAAATTATCAAATATCTATGTTGAATAAAAGAAATAAAGCTCAAAGAAATAGATCCTCAGACTCAGCCTTAATTTCTCACATAGTAATCTAGTGAGTCAACCAAAAATGAAAGCCAAAATATAGCAGTGACTGTGAGCTCCTATTTAAAGGCAGAAAATTGTTAAGCCTTGTTTTTATATGACTCCCCGCAACAAGTATACTGGTTGTATAAAAGGTAAAGTTGTTAATTCATTCAGTCAATAGATAAAGCACCTACTTTGTTCCAGGCTATGCTAGGCCCCAGGGACACATGAATGAAAAAGTCTCACAGCTTTGTGAGTGGAGGGGAGAAATGAACCTGAAGCAAGAATCTTGTGGTTTCAACTTCAGGTCCTGTACTTGCTGAGTTGCTTAATCTCTCAGAGCTTCACTTTTCGCAGTTTTCCTACAAAAACTGTAAAGAGTATCTACCCCAATATATTGTACAGTACTGCCCTAATAGCTTGTATGAGGCTGTTTCTAGGATTACATGTGATACTGACTTGAAAGGTTTTGAAGACAATGAAGATGACGAATTGTAACCTTGATGATGAGGTGAGTACAAGTATAAAAGAAGCTCTGACCTCATGAACAGGATTGGCAATTGCATGGGGTATATGTCTCCATTTTTTTTTTTTTTCAGTGCCCATGCAGGTATCAGGAGCTCTGGTAGCGTAGTGGTTACGAATCAGGCTGCGAACCACAAGGTCAGCAGTTCAAAACTACCAGATGCTCCGTGGAAGAAAGATGAGGCTTTCTGCTCCCGTAAAGATTTACAGCCTCGGAAACCCTGTACAGGGTCGCTATGGGTCGGAACCGACTCAACAGCACTTAACAACAATGGCAGGCATCTATAGTCAAGTCTTTCTAACTGAATTTAGATAAGGGTTTGAAAGCTTCTCAAGTAGTTTTGGTAGATGGCTAATTGATTTTTTTGTTGTTGAGTGCCATCGAGTCAGTTGTGACTCATAGTGATCCTGCATAGAGTTTCTGAAGAGCAACTGGTGGATTTGAACTATAAATCTTGTGGTTAACAGTCCAGTGCTTATTCCTCAGCCACCAACCTATTTGTCATCTCTTTTTCCTTGGAATAAACAGGTATATGAAACAGAATTCTAGATAAGAATGAGACTGTAGATACTGATCAATTGGATCAGAATTAATGACAAGGAATGTAGATTTTATAGCCAGAAACGGGACTGGCGATCCATGTGACTGGAGCAATGTGGGAAGATTTTATTGGCTAGAGTTCCATCACAAAGGTCTTTATGTCATTCTGTAATGCCCTTATTACCCTATATTGTTATTGACTATCTGTCTTCACTCTATAGAATGTGAGTTCCCTATGTGAAAGGGCAAACTTTGCTCAATATTGTGCCCCTATTGTGTTGTAATAGACTTCTGGTGTGATGCTGTAGGATCAGCATTAGGATGCGAACCACAATGTTGGAGTTCAAACTCATCAGCTGCTCCTTGAAAATCCAATACAGGGTCGCTATGAGTCGGAACTGACTTCACAGCACTTAGCAACAACTGTCTTGTAGAATGCCTGTTTCATAACAGGCACTCATCAAATATTTATTAAATAAGTGCATTAGATGGAAATGAGGCTTGATAAATGGGTAAGACTCAGATGGACAGAAAGTGAGAAAGAGGCCACCTAGGGAACAAGAATACAGGGACAAAGATGAGTAAGATAGGAGATTGAGGTGAAGGACTGCCACTATACCACTAATACAACGTGTTAGTATTATGTCTTTGGAAAACTTTGTCTCTTTAAATAAAACTCTGAGGACTTGGAAAAAGAGTACCACCCACTTTCCAACTGCCAGCACCAATCCCATGTCTTACCTTTGAGTACCTCATTGATGTATTGATTGAAGCAGTCTACCCTAAAGGAGTCGTCAAAGAGATTTTCACTTTCATCTATGGGTATGCCATTCCCAGCCAGGTAGATTGGAACTTTTCCTCTTGTGTATTCCAAGGACACAAACTTCAACAGCCTCCTTATACCCCAGGGAACTACACGAATCCAAGGGGCTGAGGTCTGAGGCCATGCAGGGTCCACATGTTGGGCAAAGCCTCCGATGGCATCATAGCTAGCGAGGCAGTTGTTTTGCTGAGCCTCGCTGATGAGACGGGAAGTGTAATGGGACAGACCCAGAAAGTCAGCTGATCCTTTCAGCAATTGCTTCTCTGTCTCAGTGAACTCAGGGAGCTGGGCCACAGGACTTGGGCACTGTTTGTTCATTTGTTGGATCTGGGCTCTCAGGGCAGCTGGGTAGTCACCATCCACAAAGATGGGGTGTGCAAACCAGCCAAGCATGAAGTCCAAGAAGCGCTCAGAGGCTCTCAGGTCCTCAGGACTCTCTGGGGACAGAGGTTCTGCCCAGTCTGAGTTCAACACAATGCCCACATACCCCTGCTGCTGTAGGCGATGGTGGTCATTGTAGTAGTGCCAAGCTTTGGCATGAGCCTTGAGGACCAAGTGAGCCACCTTGTTAGGAAGAAAGAAGGAATTACAGTGCTTGGTAACAACATCAACAAGTCAACAACAATGTCAACAATAACACCAACATGTCAATACCAACAGTAAAAGTTAGCACCAATGTCAACAACATCAACAAGTCAATAACATCCAAAAGTTAACACTTAGGTGTCAACATCAACACCAATGTTGATAACACCAACAAGCTAACTTGTCAACCACATCAAGTCAATGACTATATCAACAAAGCTGACACTCAACGAATTCTTTCATGTAATCCTCACTATGAGCTTACTCAGTAGGTACAATTATAATTACCACTTTACAGATAAGGAAAACAAGACCCAGAGATATATAAAACTTCCTATACATGGTTAGTGAAAGGTACAGCAAGAATACAAAACAAAGGCAGTTTGAATCTAGGTCTATAGTTTTACCCATGATGCTTTTGTCTATCCTCAATAAATGCTTACTGAACAGTTAGTCCATGGGGGGAGAATTATTTTAATTAACCTGCAAGGGCAAGGACCACTTTTTCTAGCCTATCTGTTCTTCTTTCTATTTAATGAAATCTAAAAAGAAAAATCAGAACCAGAAACTTCTTTGTAGACTTAATTTATTATATTAACAAAAGTTAATAGCTTTCTTTGGTAAGGCGTCATGGAACATAGTGATAAAGAGAGGATGTCTGGAGTATACCAAGTCTAGATCTGAATTTTAGCTTTGAGACTAACCTGCTGTGGCAACTTCAACTTCCTTATCTATAAGAAGGGGTTAATTATGAATCCATGTAGGAGAATTTGAAGCAGGGTGGTATTCACTGGAAATCATTGGAAAAATGAATTAATTAGCATAAGGAGCCCAGACCCAAAGCAGCACGCCCATCATGTCTGCTAGAACAAAGGTAAATATAAAACTGCCCTAGGTATAGAGACTTTCCCAGGTGGAAGACTTTGTTTCACAAAACCGTCTACCCACATCCTGGAGTTCACATCCTGGAACACTGTAGTCATATCTGTTGTCTCCTTTGTAAAACTTCCTTAAGACTGTCTTTCAGAAACTTGTAAGGCCAGAACAAACTTGAATCTAATCCAGAGCATGCATGGTATCTTCAACTCTGATAAAGATATAACCATCCAGCAGGGGACGCTGTCAAAACATCCCATAATGAGTGATGATCAGCATTCCAGAAGTCTGAACAACAGAATCCATCTGCAAAAGGCTGTGCATGCATCCACTTACCATAACCCCTCACAGCTAGGCAAATTCCAGGAAGAACAGCCCATTTCTTCCCCCATTTCCTTAATTATCATAAAAAGTATAACTGTTCTGTTTAAAATTAGCTCAAGCAAGACGGTCACGTTGCTTCAAAGTCCTTATCAAGTCTTCCCTTATCAAGGTCCACCTACTAATAAATTCCTTTCTTGCATGATAAGTCTGTTCTCTTGCTTCACTATTCTTCCTTAGCAGAGAAAGAACCTTTAATCTTGGGAAATGTGCTGCTACAAATTAAATGAAAAACACGTATATAAAATATCAAACAAAAGCCTGGAGTAGATGACCTAGCCTCGATGGCTTGATAATCAGAACTCGACTAGAGGAAGATAAAAAAAAAATTTTTTTATAAAGGAAATGAGGGTAAATTGCTACAATTTGATGAACTTGACCTATACTCATGGATGTAGTAGCTCAAAATACCAACAGAGAGAGAACAAGTCTTCACACCAAGTATCAATGCTATCCCCTCTGTATACAAGGTAGACAGGGACGGGTAACTTAGACCTTGGCTACCTAAAATGAGAGGGCGATAAAGGCACAAAGTGACTGGCTTACAAGTTTTCAAGAGGGAGTTTAGTTTCAGAGTGTATAGGGGAAGAGAGAGTCCCCACTGAATAGTGTTCATCTTGTCTAGATGGGTCTGGTAAAAAGAGATGGGGATAAGATTCTTATCATTCAATAGTGAGTAATTGCTATCATGACTAATTGTGACTGTCACAACTGTAAAGGTAGAAGTTTTGTAACAAAAACAGGAGAGTAGTTAATCTTACAGTCCAGAAACAGGAACCTAGGACCATCAAGGGAGCCGAGCACAAGGGGTCTTATCCAGAGAAGTAGTGACACCAGAGATGGAGACAGAGATGGGGACATGGAGAGAGTGAGCAGCTGAGGACTCTAGACTCATGGAAACAGAGGATCTGAGAGCTGATGGCCAGGAGGCAGGCTTGCAGAATGGGCCCTTTGGTTGTTTAAATTATTATATATGCCTGAGTGTTTTTGTGTACATCTTCCCACCACCACCTCCCTGCAAAAAAGAAAAACAGAAGGAATGGAAGCAAATATTGTTGAATGATGATGCATGGAGGAGATTATAATCATTGCAATGAAACGATGGTGTAAAGCCGATATTCTCCCATGTAAATTATCACTCAGTTCACAATAAACACACACACACAAAGCCTGGAGTAGAGAGGATGCTTGCAAAACTTAGTTCCCTTCCCTTTTTTGTTTTTATCATCTGTAGATGTTAACATTTGACTTCTGAAGAATTTCATATCAAAATATATTCCCAGGAAGTGAAACTCTTGGCTGTTACTTATATCTGAAATGTTAGTTCTCAACTGGGTCTTAAGCTCCAATGGCAAACTGTGCTCCTTTCCAAAAGGCAGCAATACTTCCCTTCAAGACTGTCAGAGGCAGGCAGGATGCTCAACATTATATTACAGTCACTGAGACCAGGTAATGACATGGAGGAGTGTGAACAACATGAAGCCAAGTAAAGAGCGAGCGCTAAATTGAGTGTCACTGTGATTATGCCATGAACACAAAGAAGCCAAGACTGGAAGTAAAGACTGGTAGAATTATGAGAGGAATTTTTACCTTGAACAACTTTTTTAATGGCATTATTGTTTGGGGGTTGTTAGGTTTTTTTTGGTATTATGTTTTAACTAATGAAATAAAACAAGAGTTGACTGAAAGGAGGCACTTCCTTTCAAAGTTTCTCTAGGACAAATGTCTCAGGAACCACAGTTCAAGGGCATTAAGAATCTGAAGAAGAAAATGTTTGAGTAGTGTTACAAGGAGACACGCAAAAGTGTTCTCTCTCTATGTGCAGGGTCTCTTGATGAGCAAGAGCAGAATGGAAGCTTTGACTTTTGGCATTTATTTGTGGTATTCCAGTTTACTCTGCATACATTTTAAATTGTTTTCTAGTTATATTGTGTGCAATAGTATCATCTTCTTCAAAAGACTACAACATCTCAAGGACATCCTCCTTAAAACCTAGCATTGTTGTTGTTGTTGTCAGGTGCCATCGAGTCGGAACCGACTCATAGCGACTCCATGCACAGCAGAACGAAACAATGTTCGATCCTGGGCCAACCTCACCACCGCTGCCACCCCCGAGTCCATCAATGATGCCACCTGGCCGATCCATCTCGTTGGAGGTCTTCCTCTTTTTCTCTGACCCTCCACCCTACCCAGCATGACATCCTTCTCCAACGATTGTTTCCTCCGGACTACATGTCCAAAGTAGGAGAGACGAAGCTTAGCCATCCTGGTCTCCAAGGAGCACTCTGGCTGCACTTCTTCCAAAACAGATCTATTGGTTCTTTTGGCAGTCCATGGCACCCTCAGTATTCTCCTCCAACACCAAAACCTAGCATAGGCACAGTAAATGTTCATATTTCACAACGTGGAAGGGATAGTCTGAGAGTAGTGGGCTGCTTTTACCTGTGACCCATGAATTAATCTTGTGTTTAGGACCAGTCTGGCATCTTTAATGGGATGTGAGTGTGGGGTGAAATTGTATAAACACATCCCAGAGTGACTGGTGACCTATCAGCATATCTATTCCCTCTTCCCCTGAGCATATGTCAATGTTCCCAGGAACTGCTTAGTTCAATATGGTACCTGGCCAACTCCTCTCCTATAAAGATCAGGTCCTTTGCCTACACAAGAAGGGTGTGTACAAAGTGTCTCTCTACATTGGCTGCTGAGCCAGACCTAATGGCCCTGGGAGACTGATGCTCACTATTGAAGTTGATCTTAGTTCTGTCTCTTTCCTATGCAGAACTTGGAACTGGTCCATTTCGGTTTGACTACCCTTCTCAGGGAGTCCTGGTGTGGCGCTGTGGGTTAATGCACTAGACTGCAACGTCAGTTTGAACTGCAAGGTTGACAGTTCAAGTTCATCAGCTGCTCCTTGGGAACACTATGCAGGGTTGCTATGAGTTTGAACTAACTCAAGGCACTTAACAACAATAATCCCGCTCAGAGTTTGCATTTCTGCCTCAGATACACTGCCTCTACATTTTAACAAGTTTAACATTTCTGAATCCTACTCTATGTGAGTAAAACATTGTTCCATCCAGTACCTGTGTGTGAATTGTACCTCTTTTGTTGTTATTGAACATTTTATTGTGTTTTAGGTAAAAGTTAGCATAGCATATTAGTTTCCCATTCAACAATTTATGCACAAATTCTTTCGTGACATTAATTTCTATCCCTGCAGTATGTCAGCTCTCTCTCCATTTCCAGCCTGCCTTCCCTGCTCCGGTCCCTCCACTTTCCCTAACTGCCCCCTTGCCTTTTTATCTTTGCTTTTGGTCTTGAACAGTTGATTGTTCTAAGGAGCACATTCCCTATTATTGTTGTTAAGTGCTATTAAGGTGGTTCTGACTCATAGCAACCCTGTATAAGGTTTCTGAGGAGCAGCTGGTGAGTTTGAACCATAGAACCTGTGGTTCAAACTGTCTTGAGGTCTAGTGCTGATATGTTAATTATTAATAGGCCAATCTGTTATTTGGCCAATAGGTGACTTTTGAAAGAGGTTCTCGGTTAAAAATGCTTAAAGGTGCTTAAAGCGTTAAAAGGGTCATAGTCTCAAGAGTTCCTATTAACAGTCTCTATTAACCCATTAAGTCTGATTTTTTTTTTTTTTTTTAATGAAATTGAGTTTTATTCTGCGTTTTTCCCCATTCTGACTGGGGCCTTCTATTGTGCCCCAGGTCAGAGCAGTCAACAGCCGGGCTTGTGAAAGCTGTGGTTCCTGTGGGCCATTGGTCCCAGGGACTAACTGCTTCCTTGAGTTTTTGGTTTCCTTCACTCTCTTTTGCTCCAGATGAGAGGAGACCGATAGTTGATTAGCAGAGGGCTGATGGTGAGCTTTTATGACACCAGACACTACTTGGCAGACTAGGATGTAGAACCTCATCTGTGTGAGCCATGTTATGACAATTGACCTAGCTGTCTCCAAAGACTATGACCCTTAGTCTTCAAGACCAGGAACTCAGTCCCATGAGGTGTTAGGATATTACAAAGAAGGGTGCATAATTGAGCCCTTTAAGTGCTCTACCAGGGGGCTTCAAAAAGTTCATGGAAAAATTCCATTATCTTTTAATTCTATTTTTCATGAAGCTTTTGAAGCCCCTTGATATATACAGTACATGTTGTTGTTGTTAAGTGCTGTTGAGTCAGTTCTGACTCATAGAGACCCTGTGTAGGGTTTTCAAGGAGCAGCTGGTGAGTTTGAACCACTGAACTTGCAGTTCAAACTGACTTTGCAGTCCAGTGCATTAACCTACAATGCCATACCAGGACTGCATACAGCACATACAGATATGTATATACAAATACCCATAACTATACCTGTACTATGGGAGAAAGATGAGGCTGTCTGCTCCCATAAAGATGAACAGTATTGGACATCCTAAGAAGCAGTTCTACTGTATCATTCCTTGCAGTTCCAACTAAGAAGCAGTTCTACTCTATGCTGACCTTGCAGTTCAAATCGACTTTGCGGTCCAATGTTCATCCTACAGTGTGACACCAGGAATCCTTGGTGGTGGTGGTAACAGGTACCAGTAGTTTAATACGGACAGAACCATGGCAGAAGAGAACTAGACTAATACAGCTTCTCTAAAGAATGCTGCCAGGGAAAGCTGGTGGGTCTTCTGAGAGACTTTGAAGATACAGGAAATAATGGAAAGGACCCACGCGAATCCATTACGAACCCCCCTCTCCCCCACACCTGCCATACGCACACATTTCTTGTTGAAATGATACCTGAGTGCTCTGTGGGTCCAAACCGACTGACAGTACTTAATAACAACAGCCCTTTGGGAAGCCAATCTCTCCTCTGCCCCTCAGCTAGTATGTGAGCCTACAGCACGGGACCTTGACCCAAGCCAATCAGTGCTCCACATTCTCTCGCCCTGGCCCCATGATTGGTTCAGGAACAGGCTTATGGATCACTCAGAAACCAGGAGGCACAGGACAACTTTTGTTGGGAATTCGAGGAAGGAGACCAGTTTTCTTTCCTAATGAAATATGAATATGAAGTTGCTGCTATCTGGCTATCAAGTAATCTGAGAATAAAACCAATGAGGGGGGCAAGATAGGGGAAAAATTGCATTCTGGTGACATTTTTGGTGCTCTAATCAATCTCCATAAAGAGCTCTGGTAGCATAGTGGTTACGAATCGGGTTGTGAACCGTAAGGTCAGCAGTTTGAAACTACCAGCTGTTCCACAGTAGAAAGATGAGGCTTTCTGCTCCCGTAAAGATTTACAGCCTCGAAAACCCTGTACAAGGTCGCTGTGAGTCGGAAACAACTCCACAACACATAACAACAACAACCACAATCAAGCTCCATGCTGATCAAGCTACAAACAAGACATTTCAGTGTCCTGAACTCATACATTTCCTCATTTCTCCCATCAGTTTGAGCTGAGTTTTCTGTAACTTGCCACTAAGAGTGTCAAGCTGACAGGAAGCACTTGCTTTGGAGTCAGACTGGCAATCCACTAGCAATAATATCATGACCCAATTGTTTCTCCTGAGTCCCAGTAGCCTTCCTGTCAGCGCTGTTCTAGCGATGTAATAAGTATTTTTAAAGTGCCAACATAGCATCTGGTCAAATTAAGTGACTAACAATTTATGATTCCTTTCTTCCCTTTGATTTTCTTTAAAGGTAAAAAAGTAAAAGTCTTGATGAAAAGAAGGCAGATCCTTCTCTAATTAGCAGGAGTTACAGGGATGGGAAATACCTTAAAAGAGGCCATTCCTGGGTCAGAGATGCCTGGTGCATGTTGGCCGGTGCCATAACCCGCATAGCTCATCACCCAAGGCTCGTGGAAGGTCACCCACAGCTTCACACGGTCTCCAAACGTGGAGAAGCAGAAGGCTGCATAGTCCAGGAAGGCATCTACCACACTCTCATTCTGCCACCCACCACCATCCTGCAGGGCCTGGGGCAGGTCCCAGTGGAACAGGGTCACCATGGGTTCAATGTGAGAGTCCAGCAGGCTGTCGATCAGTTTGTTGTAGTAGGTGACACCGCGGGGGTTGGGGCTGCTGCTGTGCCCAGTGGGGAAAAGTCGGGACCAGGAAATGGAAAACTTGTAAACCTGAGCTCGGAGGCCATGAAGCAAGGCCACATCAGAGTCCACCTTGTGGTAACTGTCACTGGCCACCTTTACTGTTGCTTGACCCTCAACTGCTTCCTGCCGTCCATGATGGTCCCAGACGCTTGGCCCCCTTCCGTCCTCAGCCCAGCCTCCTTCCACATTAAAGGCTCCTGTGGAGACTCCCCAGAGAAAGCCTTCAGGAAAAACATCCCATAGGAAAGCATCCCTCTCTGCTTGGGACTGGTTTGCATACATTTCCCAGACCTTCTGGTAGTTGGAGACAGGAGAAGAGGAACCAACTGACGCCTCAAGGTCCTGCTGCTGCTGATCGGCCTGAAGGATTTGGCTGTTAGTCAGGGAACAAGAACTGCCGCTGAAGGACCAAATTGAGATAAAGGGACATAATAATTAGTGACTGCAAATTACAAATGCTTTCATACTGAAGAACAGTAATGGTGTGTTTAATTAGCAATGATTCCAGAAACACTGCATTGAGAGCCATATCCACAAAGTCACAGGAAGGAAGAGATGAGGAGATGAGGAAATTTTCATTAGTAACATTTTGGGTTATTTATTATTACTCTTACATGAGTAAAACACCATGATAATGCCACAGTCATCTATATTAGATCATCCTTGAATTTTGTGTTCAATTTTAGTGCTATATTTTGTTTTTACTGTAGTGTATTATTCATAAAAGAAGATCTATCTATTTCATAGTTATTAGTATACAAGTTTGTTGTACTGTAAAGTGCCGTGGAATCATTTCTGACTCACAGCGACCCTCTATAGGGTTTGCAAGGAATAGTTAGTTGGTAGGTTTGGACCACTGGCCTTGGGTTTATCCCACAGCACCACAATTACACCACAGGACTTAACAACAACAACAATTATAATAGTGTTGGTGTCCTTAGGAGCTGGCGAGTTGATTTGACCTCATGGTGACCCCATGGGACAGAGTAGAACAGGGCTTTCTCCCACAGAGCTGCTGGATGGATTCTAACTGTTAACTGTTAATGTTTGGGCCACCAGGACTCCTAATTATAATGATGTCTAAGACTTAGTGAACCTCTCTTCTGTGCTGAGCACTGTATTAAGAATTTAAGTATATTATCTACTTCATTTAAATGACGGAAATATGAGCTAGACACTGTAATTATTCTCATTCTACAGACAAGGAGACACTTAAACAAATGAGTAACTTCCTCACGATACAGCTTGTAAGCAGTGAAGTACCAAGCTTGTGCATTTAGCCACTACCTATGTGTGTAGGTGTACATGGGTATGTGTGTATGTGCACAACTGAATCCAAATTTCACATACAAGTCCTAATCCTTACCACAGGCAATGCACTTTGATATTTTCTATTTTATTAGTTCTTTTCTCTTTCTCCCCTTTTTTCCTTCCTTCCTACTTTACTTATTTTCAAAATGTAGTTACAAATGGTGTAGTAAGATGTCACCACGCAGTGAGGAGTCCTGCCCACGGGATGGAAAGCTGCCCCCACCCCCACAGCATGCTGAAAATGACACCCAGCAGGGGGATCTTGAGGAGGGGGTGGCGGTAGTAAGTGTGTTTTGTCTGGAGAAGAAAAAGGAAGTGGAGTACCGGAAGGTCTGCGGCCCTCAGTGGCGAAGGAGTATGCGCACAGAACTGGGATAAGTGACAGAGAAGCAGAGACCTTGGACAAGTTGCCTGGTTTCGCTGTGGCTCAGATCCATCAAATGAAAAGCAGGGATAATGAGTGTAAACTACTTCAGAGTTTCTGTGGGGACTAGATGTATTACACTGTGTGCAATACAAGCACCTGCTTGTATTGTTATGATGATGGTTACTCTTAGTATGGGAGTCCTGGTATGACGCTGGACTGCAAAGTCGGTTTGAAATGCAACATCAGCGGTTCAAACTCACCAATCACTCCTCGGAAACCCTATACAGGTCACTATGAGTCGGAACCTCAACTGTACTTAACAACAACTCTTATTATTACTTCAGCTGCACACAGGAAAACATTTTAGCAATTTGAGCTGTTTACACAAATAAGGCGCTTTGAGATGTTGGAAGTTCCCAAGCACAGGCAGTAGGAGCGGTGACAGGGACTCCTTGGAGAGTCAGGCCCTTCAGGGGGCGCTTCCACATCTCAGCACTTCCTGTTTTCCTGGCATGGACTCACTCACATTTACTAGAGCAGAGGTGAGGAGGGAATGATGAGATGATCTGTGGATTACTGTGACCCACCTATGCCACTCATGCCCACCATTCTGACCCACCCCACTGCTCCTAAACCTGGCTTGGTCCTCCTGGCTCAGAAGAAAAAAAGCTCTGAGGAAATAAATAAGTAAATAGATTATAACTTCTCCTTAGATCTGGGAGCAGTCCAGAGCCTCAACCACTATGACCACTCTTTCCCTGTATCCCTCATTCAAGCGACGTCTCTACAAGAAGCCAACTTGGTCATCCCAGACAATGTTCTTTTCCCCTCCGTGGGGGCCTTCGTGTTAGGTATCCCTGCCACACTGTGTTAGAGGTTTAAGATTTTCAAGGAAGCAAGTCATGTTACCTCTCAGTCTCCCTTCACCTGCTTCAATTATCTAAATAACAAAATACAACCAATGTTGGACCTTAGCTTCAAAGGACCGCCAGGTCAAAATATTAGAGATTTTATATCATCTCGTGGTTTTGCAATCTTTGACCTCTCAGGGGGCCCATTTTATTACTGCTGTCTGAGTTTCTTCTCAATAACGACATAAGTCCAACACACCCTGTCTGACTCCAAAGAGTGGTCATGACTTATCTGTTCATTGCACGCTCGCAGCCAAAGCCAGTAATCACATACAGTCACAATTCCATGTCTGCTGATTTGAACTGTTGACTAGGAGTTCAGAGAATCGAATCTAGAAGGAATTCATGGCTCAGGACAGCTGAATGATAAAGAAAAAGGGTACAACAGGTTGACAACAGAAGTTTATAATATGGAACAATACTATTCTAGAAATGTCTGAGGTGAATGACAAGGATGGCTCTGGCCGAATGATTGCCTTCCAGCCTTTCTTCTACCTGGACACATGATGCATGAAGGTCACGTGAGTAACCCACACCCAAGGGGTGCCAAGGGCTCTGGGCAATTCCATATGCTGTTTCCAACACTATCTTCCCCCACTCAAGGGACACATAGGAATTGTGGGTGTGTGAGAGAAACAAATATAGAAAGTCTCAAATCCGCTCTAATTTATTACTTTTGAAGTAAATAATTTACAAATGTTGGCCCTTTGTCATTTGGTAAGAAATGACTTGCAGTCCTACCACAGATTGAAGAGAATTCTGGTGAATTAGGTTCTTCTATGCTGGCTTTCCTAGCTCCTGTTCTCCTTGTGGGGTTGTTATTGTTGTATACCATCAAGTCAAGTCCAACTCAGCAACCCTGTATAGAGTTGCTGAGGAGAAGCTGTGGATTTTGAACCATCGACCTTGTAGTTCAAACTGACCTGTGGTCCTATGTCTACCTTCAGGAAATGGCTTCAGAGAACTTGCTTCACATAACTTCAGTGGAATGGTCTGATCTTTTTAACTCTGTTCCCTCTTCCACAAGCTCATACTGCCTCAGATAAAATCTTAACTCCCAGCTCTTCCTTTGGACAACTATTGTTGTTAAGTGCCATCAAGTCAGTTCTGACTCAACTAACTTTGTGTAGTGTTTCCAACGAGTGATAGATAAGTAGGTTTGAATTCCCTATCTTGTGGTTAACTGTCTAGTGTCTACCCTTCAGCACCACACCAGGACCCCTGAATGAACTATGTTGTTGCCATCAAGTCAGTTTCGACTCACAGCGACCCTGTATAGGGTGTCCGAGGAGCAGCTGGTGAACTTGAATTGCCAACCATGAGGTTCAAACTGACCTTTTAGTCCAGGTAAAAATGCCAGTGCCATGTGGTGCCTGAGTAAGACTCTGGGAGAGATGGGCTCTCTTTGCAATCCCTTCTGAGTCCTGCCTCCCATCTCTCTAACAGTCATAATCACCTGGCTGCCCCAGAGGCAGATAGAACAGTTCCATGAGATTATGCATGTGAAAGAACAGCTGAGTCATTAACAAATATCAGTTATTAATAGTTCACAAAAAAATCTTACATTACCTTTTCTTGGAACTTGATGAACAGTTTAGGAGTGCATTGATATCAAAGCCAATGGTGAGCACTTGGTCTTTGTTAATGGCTGGAAGAGAAGAAATGTAAGTTTTCCTGAAGCCCACTTGTGATCCTGCATGCCTGCAGTTGGAGGTCTGCCTCACTTACACAGCTCACCCACACTCAGTGGTTCCATGTCCCTCTGAGAGAAAGCATTTGCCTCATGAAATGAAGATTCAAGGAGGGCAGAAGTGATTTCTACTGGGTTTCACACTAGAGTGTGTATCAGCATCACCTGGAGGACTCATTGAAACACAGGTGGCCGGGACACAGAGTCCCAGATTTAGTAAGGTTGGGCTTGTTGTTGTTGTTAAGGACTGTCGAGTTGGCTCTGACTCATAGTGACCCTGTATAGGGTTTTTGAGGAACGTCTGGCGAGTTGAACTGCTAACTTTGTGGTTCAAACCAATCTTATAGTCAGGACTCCAAAGGTTGGGGTGGGAGACAAGAATTTGCATTTCTAACAAGTTCCCATGTGGTGTTGATCCTGCTGGTCAGGGAAACACAACTTCCAGAACAATTGATTTAGAAGAACTCAGACCTCAGAAAGGTTGAGTCCAGGCTTCATGACATCTGTGAGGCCCAGCCCAGAAGGTGGCACGGTTATGGTGGAAAGGGTACAACAGTCTTCTCTGCTCTCTGACATTCCCAGGTGGTGGGATTGAAGATCAGGATACTCAAGAATGTCTTAAGGAGTCTTCCCTCCACCCCTTCTTTCTGATTCTCCAGTGTCTTGGTTCCCAGTTTTGATAACTTAACAGACTCAACACCTTGTCTGACCTAATTAGGTCAGAAAGATCCTCCTGCCTCAAGGCCGACCAATCAGATTCACTCTCAAGAATCTGAAGTAAGAGGCACTGAAAGGATGGTTTGTGATTGAAGGGTTCTTAGCATTTTGGTCAAAGTGCCAGGACCACATGTAATCTGACGTATTGCAGAAGTGGAACATGAATGAGCAGAGGGCCCTGACAAGGGAGAAAGACACATTAGGCAGTCCTGCTGAGAGGGGCAGAGATGAGAGACACTGGGGGAGGTGGCATTGAAGGGGACAGACAGGAAAAGGACTGACAGCTGATGCCTGACTTTTTATTTTCACAAGCACTAGGGGTTCATACGGTGGCTCTCGCCTCTTTCTTGGAGTGATGGGAGCTGACAGCCAGGAACCATCAAGGGGAAGACGACACTGAATCTCAAGTGGGGTGGCTCTCAGACCAACCTTCTTTCTTACCTCTTCCTGCACCCCCCATTGGAATCCCTGACTTTCAAGACTGCTATCCACCAAGCTCTGGTAGTGTAGTGGTTACGAATTGGGCTGTGAACTGCAAGGTCAGCAGTTCGAAACTACCAGCTTCTCCGCTGGAGAAAGATGAGGCTTTCTGCTCCCGTAAAGATTTATAGCCTCAGAAACCCTGTACAGGGTCGCTATGGGTCGGAACTGACTCGACGGCACTTAACAACAACACCCACCAAGCCAGTACACTACATGTGTTTTGATGGAATTGGGTCCCCCCAGAATATGTGTCAACTTGGCTGGACCATGATTCTCCGTAGTACGTAATTGCCCTCCATTTTGCGATGGGATGTCATCATTTTAAGTGTTGTAAGCCCTAATCAGTTTTATGCTTCTGAGACAGGATTAGTGACAATCATGTTAATGATGCAGGATACAATCAATAGGATTAGGTTAGACCTTGAGTCACTCTCTTTTGGGATCTAAAAGAGATTTTAAAAGTGAGCGGAGAGGAGAGGGACCCACTATAACCAAGTAGGAAGAGCTGGGAACCTCCTAGAACCAGGAGGCAGAGACAGAAAGCCTCCCCAAGAGTTGGTTCTTTGCATGCGGACTTCAAGACTCCCACACTGTGAGAAAATAGAGATTTCTGTTTGTAAACATCATCTACCTGTGCTATTTCTGTTACAACAGCTCTAGATAACTAAGACAACATGTTACTAAAAACCCTTCCGGGATCGTCCACTCACCTTCCAGCAGGCTCAAAAGAAACCTGGCGGGGTTCTTCCTTGTGGAGGGGCAGTCCTGGAGTTTTAGGTTAAAGATGAAAACTTTTACTTTAGGCTCAATGGTCTAAAAAAGATAAAGGCCATCAAGTGATTCAGAGTGGTCTGGAACATGCTTTTTGAAAACATAGGTAGATGTTCAAGATGAGAAGCTACAAACACTACAAATGCTCTCCAAGTTAATAAAGGGGACTGACGGTAGACTTTGAAGAATAAAGAACTTGACTTTTCAGTAACGTAGGTCACCTTCATTGCCTACCCCCACAGTGGACATGTCCAACTATTCCTTCATCTCAGGCTTTGAAAGCACCTCTTAGAGAAAGGTATGTGTTAAGAACATGAACAAGACAGTTGATTGATATCAGGAGCCCAGGTTACTACTAAAAGGAGCTCATTCAAGACACTATCATCACATTATTTATGGAGGAAACAATACAATGTCTGGAGTTCCCTTCAAAATAATATAATATGGAGGCAGGGGGATAGGAATACAGATGAAACAAAATCAGCCGTGAACTGATAGCTTTTGAAGCTAGGGATGGCTTCATAGGGATTCATTATACTTTTCTCTCTACTTGTGGATATGTTTGAACTTTTCCATAATAAGAAAATTATAAAGAAAAGAGCTGTCATCATTAAAACTGGAACAGGTGCTATCCCCCAAGCCCCCGTTCCCACCCCTCCACCCTCCATTTCTAGGCAATTCAGTGTCAAAGGAAGCATGGCTGGCATGTTATTTGATTTTGGTTTTAGTTTGCTTATTTGACTTTATTTTAAATTGCCTTATTAGGCAGGTTGGGAGATTAGTTATTTTTCCCATGCCAACGTTTCCTGCTCTTTGGAGTTAAAAACTACTAAGAGATAACAATAGCAACTACTTTTAAGTTTTTCAATTTCTCATAGCCACCTATAACAGCATCCCTTTCTAACTGATGGGCGTCAGGAGCTCCCTGAGGCTCAGCAAGTCACCCATGATGACACAGCTGGTGGAGCTGAAACTCCACTCAGTCTTGTTCTTTCTCTGTGCTAGGATAATGCCTGAGACCAAAACCATCAGGGATGGCCTCTTGGGTATGCTTCTTTCCTGAAAGAAGCAGTGGAGACAGTCTGAGATCACAGGACTGAAAAAGCTGGAAGAAGCTTGTGAGCCTGCCATCCCGCCCTCTACGGAGTAAGGAACTCTAGAGGAACTCCTTGTGAGCCGGGCGTTAGCTGATGAATTGGATGCTGGACTCACTTCTCTACATCCTGCAGAACTCAGAACCCATGAATGCTGGGTGTGAGGAGGGTCTGGGTGCTAGCCCGAGTGGCAGCAGAGGCCCCCTGAGGTTCCTAGAGTGGTGGGCGCAGGTGCCCTGGAAAGTGGAGGGGAAGGGGCCCAGGTGCCTGCTCCTCCTACTGTTGTCTCTGCCCTCTTCCTTTATACTCCATGGAAAGAGGGGTGGGGCAGATGAACAACTGGGATGAGGAGGAAGGGTAAATTTAGAAAGAAGCTGTGGACAGCAAAATTCAGCCTCTGGTGGACACAACTCAGCCCCTCTCCTTAGGAGAGCTCAGTTGTTCTTGTCCTGGGTGTGGCAGCTGTGTGGAAAGTGCTATCTGGGTCCCTGAGAAGACATCTCTGTAGTTCAGTGGATGTATGGGCGACAGCTGCAGCGCCAGAGTTGTCCTTCTGAATCTTTGGGGCTGCTTCAGAGCTGCCAACATCTGGAGTTGAACAGGACCAGTGAAACAAAAGAGACAAAGAACCACTATAGGATATCATACACAGCTGTTGGCTGGCCAGCTATGGGCTGAGAGTTTACAGTTTTATCAACACTGTTGGGAGTAAGTGTTCTTAAACATGTTTTGATGACAAAGGGAAGCACTATGACCACACCCAAGCACACATTGGGCCCACATCCATGGTGGGTGCCTCTCTGAGGTGTGTCAGATGTAAGTAGCTGAGATGGTTTCAGAATCTTAGCAATGCCTGAACACATAGTTTAGTAACAAGCCCTGGTTTAATTCCTCAAGGAGGACAAAAGACAAATTTAGTTAACATAGGCATAAGAAAATCTGAAAGACAACAAATACAGTGCTGTTTAGGGGCCAGAAATATCATCAATATGCTAATTAGTTCAGGCCCTGGGTTGCAAGCAACCTCAGGTTCAGATGAGAAGGTGCTATAAAAATAAAGTCTTGTGTGATTTAAAAGAAGTGTTTTTTAAGTCTCATCATATAAGCTGGGTTGCTAACCACAAGGTCAGCAGTTCAAATCCACCAGCAGAAGAAAGATTTACAGCCTCAGAAACTTTATACAGGAGTTGCTATGAATTGGAGTAGACTCCATGACACACAATCACCACCGTTATAAAAATAACATCGGCTATCTTTTTATTTTAGAAGGAGTGCCGTGTTTTAGCATGACATTTGACATGCCGCAGAGTCTGATGCTCACTAAGTGCCTTAAACTTTCACAGGTATACTGTGAAGGTTAGAAGTAATCTGAGAACAACAGTGCTTGGTATGTGGCAAGCAAGTAAATCATAGTTGTTAGGTGCTGTTGAGTCCATTTTCAACTCATAGTGACCCCGTGTCTGCAGAGTAGAAGTGTCCCACAGTGTTTCCTAGATTCTAATCTTTATGGGAATGGATTGCCTGGTCTTTCTCCAGCAGAGAAGCTGGGTATTTCCATCTGCCAACTTTCAGTTAGCAGCAAGTGCTTAATGGTTGCACCACTCAATCCCATTCCCACAACCATAGAGTTGATTTTGACTCATAGTGACCCTATATAGAGTTTCTAAGATGGTCAGTCTTTACTGGAGTGGACAGCCTTATAGGGCTCCTTAATTGAAGGAGAAAATGGAATGTATAGCGAATTGCCTCCATAAACAACTACCTCCTTTGCCAGGAGACCAGAACTGGTTAATGCTCAGCTACTATCACTGAACATTTTGAACAAAGATTCTACAGGAGAATCCTGATCAAAAGAGGTGAAATGCAGAACAAAATTCCACATTTTTATGGATTTCAGATTTTCTGGAGCCATGGAGGTTAAAACTATTACCCTGAGAAAATCTTAACACTTTAATCCAAAATTATCCCCTGAACGTCTCTGAAATCACAGGGATTTGGTGTTAATGAGCTTGACCTTGGACTCAGAGGGTCCAGAAACCACCAGTTATTCAGTTGCCTCCAGTCAGTAGACAGGGGACCAGTTGTGAGCCCAGGGAATTAAACGGACAAACCTCACAGTGGTAACCGAGTGTAAGAGGGAAGCCTGACAGTTGGGTTGCTGTTGTGTGCTGTCGAGTTAGTGCTGACTCATAGTGACTCTGCAGTACAGGCTCTCCCAGGCTGAAGTCTGCACAGAAGACTGCCAGGGCTTTACTCCCCCAGACCTTTCGGTGAGCAGCCAAGCATTTAGCCACGGAACCCAAAGGGCTTTTACACAGGTGAATAGGAGGCTCCTAACATCCCCTCCAAATCAGAGCTGGGCCAGAACCATTAGAGCTGAGAAAACAATACTGGTGCAGTAAGGAGAATCCAGAAGTGACAAAAAGGTCCCCATAGCTGTTTCCTGATTTGGTAGTCCTGGATGTGAACTGCATTTTTAAAACTCAGAATGAATGCTGCCATTTTTCTTCTCAGTAAATTTCTACATAAGAAAGCAGAAGAGCCATGTAAACATTCACCTTAGTAAATAATCCTCATTATCCTTTTAAGAAAAGACTAGTAACATCCCAATATTCCTTAGCGATGTTTCCCACAGAAATTTCCCCAAATGCAAGTCAGCAGGTTTTCCAACTGTTGTTGTAAGTTCAGATTTTTATGCATTAACCAAAACATTAAATAGCTAATAAGATCTCAGAAATTTTTGCCCTTCATCAATATGAAAAGTGACTCCAATTACCTGTAATTGACTCAGCTGCTGTGGTAAAGTTGCCTCGCTTTGGCATTCATAAGACATATCAAGAGAGAGGAAATCGACCGAGTCCTAGAAATAAGCAAACAGAGTCATTAAAAACATAAGCAATAAGACAAAATGCTGCTCAGAAGTATTTTTTATTTCTCCCCTTATTATATTAAGGAGCCCTAGTAGAGTTGTGCTGATAACTGCAACATCAGTAGTTTGAATCTCTTGTCACTCCAAGGGAGAAAGATGAGGATCTCTGCTCCCATGAAGATTCACAGCCTCGGAAATCCTTTCCAGGGTCACCACCACCACAACCTCATCATTGAATTGAACCTTCCAAGGTGGGATTTTCCAGGTAGGAGATAAGCTTGGACAAGTGAGAATGTGTGTGTGAGGGGGGAAACAGTTAGGGTGGGGAGTGTATTGGGAATACATCATCTAAATGTTCAGCAACCTGCTTGATACACAGTATTGTTGTTGATGTAAGTGTTGTCAAGTCGGTTCTAACTCATAGTGACCCTATATAGGGTTTCCGAGGAACGAATGGTGGGTTTGAACTGCTGATTCTGAGGTTCAGACTGGCCTTTCAGTCTAGTGCTTTATCCTACAATGCCAAACTAGGGTCCAATGAGCACTTAATAAATGTGTATGCATGAATAGATGAAGAACTAGATAGCAGAAGTGGTGGATTCCCACCAGTACTGAAGAGTATTGAGTAAGGTGATCAGAGGTCAGAATTGCCAGGCCAGTCTTGTCTTTGTGACCACCTTGCACTTTGCCAGGACCAGCCTCCCTTGAAGCCCACTGTGATTGCTGCCGACTCTAATGGGGTTTTGGGTTTTCCATTTCAGACCACAGTTTAAAGTTTACCATAGTAAGCTTTAGTCTGACCCATTCTACTAGGTGAGAACATAAACCTCATGGTCCTGCTCATGAACAACTTTCTGATTCCAAGGCACTAAGAACTTCGGATTCAGATGTTTGAACACTGAATGATGTCACTGTGATCACTCCCTGCTTCCCTCAGTGACTGCCTCCATTCCTAGTCTTGTCAAGCTGACATCATTGCTATGGATAATGGCATGTGGTGAGGGCTAGGGACCTCCGAAAATTGATTCATAACCTGTTCCTTATCAAGTTACCACCAGTGCTTACTAAATGCTCCCTCCCCTTGCTCCTCTGGCTTTCTTCTCATCATCCACCTCAGCTCTTGCTTTTGTTTGTCAATTCAATACAACACAAAGGCCTTAAGTTCCCACTTTTGAAAGCCACCATGCTGGATACAGCTGGGGGGCGTGGGTGCACATTTAAAGAAGTTCACCCCTATGGCCAACCACTCATTCTGTCAGTTTGTTGTACTGTGGTGGCTTGTGTCTTGCTGTGATTCTGGAAGCTATGCCACCGATATTTTAAGTACCAGCAGGGTCATCCATAGTGGACATGTTTCAGATGAGTTTCTAGAGTAAAACAGAGTAGGAAGAAGAAATGGACTACTTCCCAATATTTAGTCACCAATAACCTTATGAAAAGCAGTAGAACACTGTCAGCACCAGAATACTGGCCATTGAAACAAGATGAAAAGCAACAGAATATCATCAGATATAATGGCAGAAGATGAGCCCCTCAGGTTGGAAGGCACTGAAAATATGACTGGGGAAGAGCTGCTTCCTTAAAGTAGAGTTGACTGTGATGATGTGAGTGGAGTAAAGCTTTTGGGACCTTCATTTGCTAAAGGGGCACAACTCAAAATAAGGAGAAGCAGATGTAAACATCCATCAACAATCTGAACACGGAATGTATGAAGTATGAATCTTGAAAACATGCTGAGTGGAATAAGTCACAAAAGGACAAATACACTTATATGAAAAGAGAAACGAAAGATTATTTTTAGTTACCAGAGATAGAAAGGAGGAAGAAGGGGAAGTTTTTGCTTAGGAACCACTGAATTTATGTTAGTGGTTGGTAGAACAATTTGGTAAAGAATAGTGGTGTTAATTGTACAACACCAACAATGTATTGTAATTATGTTCTTTCCAGCATCTTGGAGGCCTTCTGGGAATAGCACTTCATAGCTGGCAAGTATCGCTGGGAGGCTAGTGTCTATTTTTGATGGCTATCAATGGGGCCTTTGGTTGAGTCAGTTATGACTCATAGTGACCCTGTGTAGAATTGACGAGAAGCGACTGTTGAGTTCAAACTTCCGACCTTATGGTTCAAACTGACCTTGCAGTGTAGTGCTTATCCTATAGTGTCACACCAGGACTCCAAAGGGGCAGCTGATGTTGTTAAGTGCTGTTGAGTTGGTTCCAACTCAGCGATTCTGTATAGGGTCCCAAGGAGCAGCTGGGGGTTTGAACCATTGACCTTGTGGTTCACAGTCCAGTGCTGATCCTACAGTGCCACATCAGGGGCTGCTGTTGTTAAGTGCTGTCAAGTCAGTTCCGACTCATGGCAACCCTGTATAGGGTTTCCAAGGAACGCCAGCTGGGTTTGAATTGCTGACCTTGTGATTCTCAGTCCAGTGCTTGTTGTACTGCATCACACTAAGAGTCTGTTCTTTGTTGTTATGTGCCATGGAGTCAGTTCCGACTCATAGCGACCCTGTACAGGGTTTCCGAGGCTGTAAATCTTTATGGGAGCAGAAAGCCTCATCTTTCTCCCGTGGAACAGCTGGTAGTTTCGAATTGCTGACCGTGAGGTTCACAGCCTGATTCATAACCACTACGCTAGTCTAGACCATGTGAAATTGAGCAAGGAAGTGTTATTAAACAAGGCCTCCTGATGGAGGATGCATTCACATAGACATGAGAAAACGGTAGAATTGAGTTTGAATAGTTGAGGAAGGGCAGGAGGGATGGGAAGGGCATTGGGCAGATAACAGGCTGTAAGGCCAGCAAGAGAACCCCACTCCCCATATGGAGGCCCTAGGGAAATGATACTGACTCAGGGGAGTGCAATTTGGGAAGATTAATCCAGAAGCATAGTATGGTAGGGACTGCAGCAGAGAGACCAGATCAAAGGCTAGTGCTCAACAAGCAGTTTTCAGGTCAGCACTTTGGTCTGCTGAGTAAACACCATGAGGCACCTGAGTGGGCCACTGATAGCTCTTATCTCCCCCTTGTAAACGAATTTAAATGGTTTTCTGGCCCACAATTAGCCTTTGAGTTGGTTATCCAGAGTCTTATCCTGCCTGGATTTTAAACCCCTGAACTTGTAAATGGGAAGACTCTGGTCATGTAGGTGCTTCTCACCAAACAGACACTGGGAGCAGTGTGGTATCTCCAACACACGGTCACCAGTGCTGCAAACTACAGCAGCACTCAACTGGCCATTTCCAGGTGTGCTTTCAACCCTGCCCAGAAGACTGTATTTAATTCTTAGATGTTTCCCTTTTATTTTTTAAAAGTATAGTTTAAAAGTTACAGTTAGAAGAGAAGAAACCAGGATGGATACTCTAGGGAACACATTTTAAAAATCATTTACCCTAGTATCTATCCTGCTATAAACTGACCTCTCTTATAAGCTTTAAAAAGTTTGTGGAAAAATTCCATTATTTTTACATTCCTTTTTTCCATGGATATTTTGAAGTCCTCTCATCTTCTAGACACGTCTAATCCAGAGTTACAGCTACAGGGGCATTTGGCTCCTTCATGTAGGCAAGCTGATACTTGGCCCAGCAAGAGCTGGAAGCTACAACAAGAGGTTTTGTGTTTTGAAGGAACTAGAAATTTAGAGAATGTATACCATTCAGAAGAGGCGTTTGTAAAAATGTCAAGCTAACTGACAAAAACTTCTCTTGTTCTTGTAAAATTAAAATTGCAAATGATCTCAGATGCTATTTCCTGTGGCTCTCATCACCTTGGCAAGTGCAGACGTGGATGGTTCTAGAAGGAACTCGGAGATCTCTTCAGCTGGTAGGACCACAGAGAGCTTTCCACCTGAAACCAACCAGAGGAAAGGCAGGTGAGGACAGAAAGAGGCTCTTGGGGAAAGCCATTTAGTGACTCATTTCCTGCCAACCTTTCCAAAGGATCTTTAAAGAAATCCCCCATATAAAGTTATCTCAGCTGAGAGACTTAAAAAAAAAAAAGAATTTTGTTGAGACTATACCAAGAAAAACATATACCAATTCAACCATTTCTGCATGTACTCTTTGGTGACATTGATGACATTTTTCTGGTTGTTGTCAGCCTCCTTTTCTGTGTGACTCCCCCTCCATTCACATAAGCTCAAGGTCCACTAAGCTTCCTCGCTAATCTTTCCAGTTGCTACTATCAGTTTGATCACATTACGATGGTTCTTAGAAATAGTACAGAAATTTTTGTAAACAAGTTGACTCTTAAAGAATATAACTCTTACAGAAAGTTTCATGTTAAGTCAGAACTATGACAGGCAGAACACTTGTAAAAGTCCTTTGGGAAAAATGAAAGCAGTCACCATGGCCTGTGCCCAGCAATGTGAAGGCATAAGGAGTGAACCCTTCCTGCATGTGTTGTGACAGGCAGGGATGGTCTCAGGAAGCTGCTGTGGTTCAATCCTAATTCCTTGTGTAAGCATCAAGTTAGTCCATTCCAGGGAACTTTTAAAAGTTCATGGAGAAATGGGATGAAAAGATAGTGGAATTTTTCCATGAAATTTTTGATGCCCCTCACACTGCACATTGAAAGGAAAGGAGGAAATATAAACAGGTGCAGCTGATAACCACTTCCCCTCACTTTTGATCACAGAAAACTGGTTCTCAAGCTTCTGTGTGCATTAGAATCACCTGCAGGGAGGTGATGATTCAAATGCCAATTCCAAGGCCAGCCCTCAGAGAATGGGATTCAATAGAACAGTGTGGTCCCTAGAATGTGTATTTTGAGTCTGATGTAGTGGTCCTCAGATCACAAGTTGAAGAATGCTGCTGCAGAATTGGGATTTCTTAGTTGTTCTACATATGTATCTTGGTCCACTGAATTGCACTTTCCCTCAGAGCAAAATTTAATCCTTCAAGTATTGAGTTTAGGACTGGATGCATTGAAGGTGCTCAGACCTTAGAGCTGCAATATAAAAACAGAGTAACACTAGAATATGAGACTTAAGACTGTCTAAATAACTCCTCAATTTCACCCATTCTACACAAGAGGAAGCAGGGCCTCTGGTAGTATAGTGGTTACAAGTCAGGCTGCTAATCTCAAGGTCAGCAATTAGAAACTGTCCCATGGAAAAAAGAGGAGACTTTCTACTCCTATCAAGATTTACAGCCTCGGAAACCCTATACAGGGTCGCTGTGAGTTGGAACTGACTCCATGGCACATAACCACCACAACTACCGTACAAGAGGAAGACATCCCCACTTAATGAAACTAATAACAATAATTACCACCTACAAAGAGCTTATTTTGATAAGCCTCGGGGAACTATGAAATCCACTTGGAACAGAGTATTTCCCAGAGAAGTTCAGTGCCCATTCTGATAAGACAGTGTTGTCTTTCAGGTTATTGAATAATAGTACAGTTGGATCCATTTCATCTTCACAAATTTTAAGTACAGCAGTTACCAGGTTACAAAGGAGATCTGCTTCTAGGTGACCTTTTGTCTTTTTAAAAATAACTATCTTTAAGTTGAAATTGTAGGTAAGTTGGAACAGGTACATATGATTCTTATTTAGCCATATTTAGAGCTGGTGAAATCTTGATGATTTCAAACATGCATGTGCAGCAAGTGATGATGATTGTTATGGAGGCTTTGTTGTGAGAAAACATTGGTTCAACCATTTCAAAGTGAGGGCAAATTTATACAACACTAAAGAGGCAGTACAAGTTGTCCTAAGTTGGACATTTTCACCATATCAATACCTTAGAACACATCTTCTCAGCTTAACAATGGGTTTAACAACAAATGTATACTTTAATATCATTTCTAGCTGAAATTAAATATGAGTACAATTCATCTCTAAGCACATTTAACCCACAAATCATTTTTCTATTGGAGGTTGAAAGTTGTTTTTATCATTAGAATGAATGAATGTACCTAAGGTTCCAGAAATTGCCATATCATACAAAATTACCAACTTCCCATAGTTTCTGGATTGTTTCCAGTGTGAGCACAAGCTATGCTTCTTAAAATAGTGTAAAATGGAAATTACTCAGAACTAGAGTTTCACTATAGGTTTGTAGTTCACATTTTCTGTGGGATCAAAAAGGGGATGGGTAACTGCTCTAGTTTAAGCTCAGTTATCCCACAATTCTTGCTGGAAATGGTCTGTATAGGGTTTCCACAGAGTGACTGGTGGATTTGAACCACCGACCTTGTGGTTAGTAGTCCAGTGTTTATCTTATAGTGTCATACCAGGACTCCTCTTTTGTCTGTCTACAGAACGCAAATTTAATATTTGCTGTGCGTTGAGAACTGATTATATTCAGCCCATGTAGAAAAGCAACGTATAGCACTGAGCTAAGTTCCTGGCCCTCATGGACATTTCTGAGTCTCTCAAGAGTCAAATCAAGTCCCACAGGCCTCACAGAGGGACAAACTCACCTCTCTTCTTACACAAAGGAAAGTTGTTCCTCCAAAAGCCATTTCTTATGGATTGAGTTGTGTCTTACCAAAACATGCATAACTCTATTTGGAACACACACACTGGGGGAGGCAGAGGCCATGTGAAGACTGTCTACAAGGAATTGAGTGAAAGTTTACAGGGCAAAGAACCAAGGGATGTCTGGTGCTACCTACAAAGAAGGAATCTACACTACTACGACTCTGATTTGAACTCTTAGCTTCTGGAACTATGAGAAAATAAATGCCTGTTCTTCAAAGCCACCCACATGTGATATTTCTGTTAAGGAAAATCTAGGAAACTAAGACAACATTGCAGTTGTTCACAACAAAATAACCACCTTCCCTTTTGCTCCAAATATTTCCAGAAAAGTAATCTGGCCAACATTGAATTGGTAATATCATTGTTTTAAGCTACTGTTGCCGGGGAGAGTGGGATGAGCTGAGGATTACTAATATTTGTCTGGAGTATGTCCTGGTTTTGGCCAAATGGAGTGTGCTGTGTGTGCAATTCTTACTTCACATCCACCCCTCTCCACCCCAACTCCTCTAACTCACTGCCAAGTAACGTCTCTTACTTCTTTTCCATTTCCCTAGTGGTAATACACTGAAAGCATCACCATTGTTATTGTTAACTGTTATCAAGTCGGCTCCAATTCAGTGACACTGTATACTGGGTTTCCCAGGAGCAGCTGGTGGGTTTGAACCACCAACCTTTCAGTTAGTGGTCCAGTGCTTATCTCACAGTGCCACATCAGAACTCCAAAGGCATCAATAGGAGGTTTATAATAACAGACGTAAAAAGATGAGAAAAGGACTTCCAACAAGTAGGGGGAATATAGCTTCCCACTCCTTAGGTGTGGACTGCACACCATATAGAAAGGGGGAAAGAGCACTGCTACAGTTAAGGAGCCTGACAGATACTATCTCAGCCAAATGGTCAAAGGCAACATCAAATCACAAGTCATATTGATAGTATGTTCCCTTGATCTGATGTGATGAGAATGGCACTTTACCTCTGTTATCAGGAATATCGCAGTAGAGAAGCAGTTTACAAAGTACCAGATAGTGTTGCTTAAAGCTGTCACGTCATCAGAAACAAGGGAAGTGTGAGAAACTGTCACAGTCAAGACAAGCCTGAGGGACATGGTGACTAAATGTAATGAGGTGTCCTGGATGGGTCCTAGGAGCAGAAAAGGTGGTGGTTTCTGAGGCTGTAAATCTATACGGGAGCAGAATACCTCATCTTTTTCCCATAAAGCAGCTAGTGGACTCGAACTGCTCCCTTATAGTTAGCAGCCCAACACAACCAGGGCTCTTTGAATAAAATATAGGTTTTAGTTAACAATATTATTTGGTTCATTAGTTGTGACAAATGTAAGATGTTAATAAGAGGGGCAACTGGATACAGAGAGGGATATATGGGAACTCTCTGTATGATCTGCTTAATTTTTTTTTTTTGGTAGTTTTTATTTATTTATTTATTTTAATTTGGATTGAGTGAAAGTTTACAGGGCACATCATCAGCTTCACATTCAACCATTCATATAGCTTGTTTCATTACATTGATTATTATCCCCTCCATATATCATCAGTTAACAGTGTTTCTCTCTATCCTCTTTAGTTTTTTTTTTTTTGTTTTTTTTGGATGGGGGGGACTTGGCTTTTTGGAATTTACAGTCTCGGCTTTTAGGGAAGGTTTTTACATTTGTCTGTGGATATCCAGGGCTCATGTATGAGATTACTAACAAGCATTACTGAATAATCAGATGAGGGACAGTTTGCTGTGTCTACTAGGTAGCTAAAGTCTGATCCTCAGAGCCTATGGTTTGGATGGTCAACAATGCTTGGGCCCACAGGGGTTTGGCCTCCTGACCGGGTCTGCACGGTCTGCATCCGAATCCTCCTTATTTATTGTTTGTTTAAGGGACGCTGCCTGTCTTAGGCGGTCAGTGCGAATTCCTCAGTCTTATCAGTCATTGAAACTCATTGCAGCATGGCAATGGCTCTGTCTTAAGTTGCCGAAGTTCCACGTGATCCTTACCCATCTCTGGCCACACGTCCAGCATAAACAGCCGCCATCCGAGGAAGGCAGGGAGGGAGGAGATCGCCTGGGGACCCCATGATCTGCTTAATTTTTATATAAATTCAAAACTGTTCTAAAAAATATCATGACTATGTTATCATGACTAATTGCAACTGTCACAATTGTAAAGGTAGAAGTTTTGTATCAAAAATGGGAAAGTTAATTGAATAATTTCCAATCCATTGAGACTGGGCTGGTGAAAGGAAATGGGGATAAGACTTTTATGGTACAATAGTGAATAATTGCCATCAGGACTGACTGTGAGGGTAGGAAATATAGAGGTAGATGTTCTTTGACAAAAGGAGGAGAATGATT